GCGATCAACATAGGTGACTTAAGTGCGTGTTATACATAATATGAACACATTATACGTAAAACTGTTAAAATTTAACGATGATTATTGTAATTATTTCATTTGTTATTAATTAATAAGATACTCTAATACCTCTTCAAGTCAATAAACAGCAATTATGTCTTGTATACATGTATATAGCAATTTAAACATATACATGAAGCAAAATAACCCTATAGGATATACATGTGTCGCGGTGTACATTAATTATGATTGGAAATCAGTGACAGGTTAACTTGGCCGGTAATCACAGAGAAACTGAGAGTAGTATTCAGAGGTCTGTGAATAAAGACACAATGAAACACTATTCACAATATATATTAGAAGTTAAATACGAATACACAAATAATACAGGAATGGCGTCTGCTTATATATTTCTACAGAGGGGGAGGGAAAAAAACAATGCTCTGAGGGCGTGGAAGGCTGTAAATACAGGGTCATCATCCATAATCTTAGTATGCTGAATCACCTAAGAGCCATCCCTCGCTAATTTCACCTAGTAAATAATATATTTATGCATCTATCGACATTTAAAAATTGTATGATGGTGAGTACGCAGTTAAGGACACCCCCTCCTTCAACACACACACACACACACACACACACATATTTTCAACCTTAACATTTTACTTTCTTATTTTATCATATCTTAATCATGGTATTAAATTTGGTAATGTTTTAAGAAAAAAATGAGTTGAAAAAAATGGAGCATTTGAGGAAGGGGTTTCGTCCACCCTTTTTTTGTTCGATTACCCTAGTACAACCCCTTTTTAATTTAAACAAGAATGTGAAATTCATAAAATTATTATCATGAAATACTATAGTAATTTGCTCGTCATATGAAAACTAAAAACTCGATTGAAAGATGTTTTGGTGAATGGAAGGGCCGTTTTCGCTGTCTTGATAAAACTGGAGGTCCTCTGTTATTTCATCCTTCGAAAGCATGCGAGATATAATCAAATAACTTAATGAAATGAAAATATCAAATGTATATTTTTAAAACCAAAAGTATGTTTTGATATACTATATCAAATGTTCCCTTCATTTTAAGGTAATAGTTGCGACAGCGATTTTGCACAATATGTGCATCAAATCAATCACAGGATACAGTTGCCATTACTTCCAAACGAAAAACAATCCCCAGTGAAAAAAACGTGACGGAATTTTTAAAATCTAATAGTCCCTTTGGACTGTTGTGACAATAGCCAGGCGTGGTTAAAGAATAAAAACATTTATCAGTCTGTGAGTAAACATCACACTTACATGTAATAACCAACGCTATATTATGAACTTTTACACTGTGTAATATTATTTTAATTCAATACATAAGTATGACTTAGCTAAGATCTTGCTTAGATTGTTTTATGTTACGGTATAAGACATACTTAAGTAGTACTTATGTAGGTCCTAAAAATGTGCTTAACGCGTATTTAAGACCGTACTTAAGTCAAAAACTTCGTATGCTTTATGTTACGACCCCCGGGCGTCCAGTGGACTTTTACGAAAAGCACTGACTTTCACGGTTGACGGTTTACTTGACATTTAAACCTGCAACATGTATCGAGTTACGGAATTGATCATAGATAAGAACTACTTTCTAGGATCATATAATGTGCCCCTATTGTTATTAGAGGCACTAACTTGTGAATACCGGTGGTTGAAGGTAGGGTGGTTGTCCTTTTCTTTAAGGACAACTGATTAACGCTTCGTAATAACCTGTTAGTGGTTTGAATTTAATGTCAAGCTAAATATTTATAACGTAAAAAAGCTTCCGTACATTGTTGTAGTGTAAAAGTAAGCTGTCAACAGTAAACGTCAGGGCTTCTCGTAAAAGTCCACTAGTATTCACAGCAAAAAAACTGCCCTTCGAAAATAAACTTATTTATTACCAGCTTTTACATTAACAAATGTACTTTAACTAAACAGTCTAGCTTTACATCTTAACTTAATACTACTGAAAAAATGTATCATATATATCCTAAAATGTAAGTTTGTAAGATTTGAACATTTCCTAACAAAAACACTATAGTAAATTATGTTTAACAATAAATTACTATTGTAAATCAAAGTTCCAAAGTTATCACCATAATAAATCAAAGTTCCAAAGCTTTCACCATAATAAATCAAAGTTCCAAAGATATTACCATAGTAAGTATTGGTTACATCATAGAAGCCAAGTAGTATTGATTATATCGTTTTCATGGGGCTTGAAAATCGAGGGCGCGGAGCGCCCGAGATTTCCACGCCCCGTGAAAAAGATATAACCAATAGTACGGGGCATCTATGATGTAAGCAACTTATCGCATGTCTGATAACGTAAATTTCATTGAGAGTGTCGGAATTCAATAATAAAAAAATATTAATTTCAAGCTAGCTCTCCAACATGTCGGACGTTCTTAGTGAATTTGACTTTTGAGTTTTTAACTGAGTTTGAAGATTTTGACAATTTATTTTTGAGCCAGGTACTCGACATATATAAAATCACAGAAACAAATAGCAAGGAGTTTAACGATAAAAAGTTTGGAGATTTTACTGTAACCTTCAAATTTTCAAAATGGATTAATCTTTTGAACGACTGAGAACTTTCAACCGAGTTAAATACATGTATTTTAATTAAGTTAAAGGCTAGGAAATAGCTATACATGTTCATTTTTCTGTGGTTATGAACTTGTGAAATAAAATCAGTTTTTTTCTCATGACCTGATTTTTGCCTCCTGCAGTGATATATGAAGGGGCGTGGAAAGTATTATCGCATATGTGATATGGATATATCACCAGAGAAAGATCAAAGAAAATCACCGCAGATATGCGACAAATCAAGGTTCCAAAGTTTTCACTAGAGTTAATCAAAGTTCGATAGGTTTCACCATAGTAAATAAAACATTAAGTTCCAAAGTTTTTAATACAGTAAATCAAAGTTCGAAAGATTTGGCCATAGTAAATCAAAGTTCAAAAGTTTTTACTACATTAAATTAAAGTTTCAAAGCTTTTACCAAGTTATTCAAAGTTCCAAAGTTTTTACTATAGTGCATGAAAGTTAAGGAGTTTTTTTTAATTACATTACCAACTTATATTGTTTATTTTTTTTCTATTTTTATTTAATTGTTTTAAGAGGATGATATTGGATTTCATGGGGATATGTTTTGGTGTTAATATTAATCTAAAGATGCAAAGTAATTAATTTAAAAGTAATATTTACATTTGACAGTAGGAAAAAAATTTGACTGAAGTCAATGAGGCCAATATTTTGAATCTAGATGAGGCAAATTTTATCTTTTAGCATTTTTTTCTCCATAAATACTTACGTTTTATTTGCACAACATTAAAATAAGATTTAAATAAATATCGCTTATTTATCGGTGCAAAAATCAATGTTTACATTAAAATTCCTTTCTTGTACACTTTTCTTGTAGTAGAGGTGTCGGGCTTTTAAAAAGTTCTTTGAAACTTTAATGAATCTTAATGGAATGGGAAACAAAAACATAGTTCCGTGTTTTATAGTATTCGATCAAAGTTCGATCAAAGTTCCAAAGTTTTCATTGTAGTAGATCAAAGTTCCAAAGTTTTCATTGTAGTAGATCAAAGTTTTCATTGTAGTATATCAAAGTTCAAAAGTTTTTACCATAGTAAATCAAAATTTCAAAGTTTTAACATTGTTTCTATAGTTAACTATAGTAAACGTTTCTTGGCAAAAAGTGTAGGTTTGAAGAAGATGGGCGGATAAGGCGGGCAGAATGCCTATAGCATCAGATATTAAGAAATCACATTTGATATGTAAATTGAGTATTTAAATTTACATCTCATTATTGAAATATATGAAATTATGAGAAAAAAAAATTTTCTCAGAAAAAATAAATCTCTTTAAAAAATATCATTCATAAAAATTTTCCATGGTATTCGTGGGATTCGAACCCCAGCAATAAAATACCAAAGTATCTGACTGCTTTGAGACTAACGCGCAAACCACTATGCTACATGGCTCATGTGTTGTAGTGGCATTTAAATCGTGTTTGTGATATGACTTTTGACTTAATGGACTTGAAGTATTTCTCGGAAAGATGCAAATGTTTTGTCATAAAAGTGTCTTTTTAAGGTATAGTGGGTCTTCCCTCCATTTTTTTGTAAACCAAAAAATATATATTTTATCGCAAACAATTAGAATTATCTTTCAAAAAAATGGAGCGAAGACCCACTCACATTGAAAAATTTTGTTAAAGTATGAAAAAATGATCGTTTTTGTTCTTTTAAGTCTGTGTATGCTTTTTAATAGGCAAATATTTTAAGTTTTTGTGAGATATATGTAAATTATGGAGATTTTACATTAAGTATACTTTAATATTAGATGAGATATGACATAAAATTTGGATATAATTGAGATTAATTTCCCCCCTTCTTATCTGTCGCGCTATAGGCATTCTGCCAGCCTTATACGCCCATCTTCTTTGATTAGAGTGGCTGTAGAAAAAAAATTCACTGTACGCTAGAGCGATCAATATATATCAAAGGAAATTTCATTTATATCTAATTTGATTTTGAATTTAAATACGAAGCATGCTTTAGATATGAATCAAATTCCTTTCTTACAGGAGTTGGTAGCAGTTGAACTGTAAAGATTTAAAAAAAAACAACAAAACTGGCAGTCGGTGTTATCTTAATTGTGAATGAAACAAAGTCACCTTAGCTCGAAAATGCTCCATAAATGTCCCAAGTAAGGTTATAATTAGTCAAATTGTTCTTGAGGAGGAGTTGAGTAATGTGATAGATTACAAAGACAGATATCAGACAGTGGTTTATTTTCGTGAAGTTCAGGGAGGGTAAAGAAGGAAGGATTTCGAAATTTAAAAATGATTTTCTTTTACTTTCTTAATACCCTTTTTCAGAAATGCACTTGTTTTCATCAAATTCTCATCAAAATATAAACCTCGTACAAATGAGCATCCTGAACTTTTCATTGATACATGTACCTCCATACGTCCATCCATGAAAGACACTACCATCTTGGTCACACACTGACTTATCCACTTTCTGGTCCAGACGTTTAGAGGCGTCCAACACCACAACATAGAAAGCTCTCCTGGTCAGGTAAATCTGGTGACAGGCGTAGTACGCACACTGTCCTCCAAAGTCAAAAAATGTCAAGGTCTTTGAATCTATATTTGTAGCAGAATTTTCTTCCTTTTTATTGCCTGTGTTGATATTTCTTGCTAGAAAAAAAAGTATTATGGAAAATTACCTCTGGATAATTTGATTTTATTTAATTCTAATTTTTTTCATTGCAAAATTGTATGTTTGGGGGTGATAAGAATTGCAGACAAGCGATCGTACCATAACTACTCACAGTGGTCTTGTATGATGTTTCAACAATATTTCGAAAACATATGGAAGCTGTTTATTATTAGAGACTGGAGAATAAAAATGGGCGCATTTTATTTTTTGTGTTTTCCTTCTTTTTAAATCTAAAGGTTTATGATCAAATAAAATAAGCAAGATGATGTTCTTTTCAACTATACCTTTTAATGATTTTGTTTCATCACATAAATCAAATATTTCCTCATGCACCTCCAAGCCCTCAGTAGATTTTACTTTCTTAATCTCTTCTTCACTACAGCCAAGCAGACGTTTAAGTAGCGTGGTTTTTCCGGCTCCAGCACATCCTACAATCATCCCCCGGGCGTGGTGGACTGTCTGTGTTCCTCTCTTAGCGTACTCCACATACCGCTCTCTGGCCTCCTGGTCCCATTGTAGTACTTCAGTAGGGACTCCTACTGTAACATAAAACATTCAACAATATCAAATAGAGATAAACAGAAAACAACTAATATATATATATATATATATATATATATATATATATATATATATATATATATATATATATATTTTCTTTTCACCTTCATTGGAGACTTTTGTATTTGAGGATACATATCACCCTTTTCCCTAAAATCTAAACAGATTTGCCAAAATTAAAGGTTTTGTTATACTTTTTCAAATAGTAAAATATTTTGCAAAGTCACATAATTAAAAAAAAAGTTCAATATTTGTTTGTTTTAAAGTCAAAGAAATATGTGGATTTTTGATTTATTTAATTGTGAAATCCATAAACCCTGGGATTAAGCTCAATTTATCTAAGTATCTAAATTCAAGCTTCCCCCCTACAATTTGAAATATCACAAAAATTGTATTTAGGTGTATCCAAATTTTCATATTGATTACATGTATGTTGTTGGGTCATTTTCAACAAAGCATTTTAACAATTTACACAATTTGAATGTCGTGATTATTATGCACCCGGATTGGTAGATCCGGGGCGTATATTGTTTTAGTCCTGTCTGTCTGTTTGTCTGTTTGTTTGTTTGTCTGAAAACTTCAACTTTCATCATAACTTTTGAACCATGAAAGATACACATGTAGAGACTTCATATTTGGTATTCGTACTCCACTAATTAAGCTCTTTCAAATCACACAAAAGGACCTTGACTTTGACCTATATGCAAAAAATTCTTTTTATCTGCAAATTTTAACCTTCACCATAACTTTTGAACAATGCAAGATAGAGACTTCATATTAAGTATGCATATTACACTAATTAAGCACTTTCGAATGATACCAAGGTTAATGACCTTGTGACATTGACTGTGACCTATATGCAAAAAAAAGCTTTTTATCTGCAAAATTTAACCTTCTCCATACATTTTGAACCATTAAAGATACAGACTTCATATTTAAAAAGCATACTCCACTAATAAAGCTCATTTATCTTTCAAATTACACCAAGGTTAATGACCTTGAAAAAAAACCTTGACTGTGACCTGTATGCGCAATTTTTTTTTAATGTCTCTGCCCATAACTTTAGAACCATAGAATATGGAAACTGCATATTTAGTATGCATACTCCACTAATTAAGCATTTTCAAATGACACCAAGGACCTTGACTGTGACCTATATGCAAAAAATACCCTTTATCTGCAAATATTAACCTTCACCATAACTTTTGAACCATGAAAGATAGAGACTTCATTTTAAGCATGCGTATTCCACTAATTAAGCTCTTTCAAATGAAACCAAAGTTAATGACTTTGTGACATTGACTGTGACCTTATGCAAAAATAGTTTTTCGTACCTTTGCCATAATTTTTCAACCACAAGATATAGAGACTTAAGCTTCATACTTAGTATCCATACTTTTCCAATCAAGTTCTTTCAAATAACTCCAAGTTCAATGGCCTTGTGACCTTGACTGTGGCGTAAATGCTAAACAAAGCTTTTTTTTAAATTTTGATGCCGCCGGGTGCATAGTGTTTCACAAACATATCTAGTGTTTCTATTGAAAGAAATATGCAAAAATACCACTGTATTTCTTCGGTGCAAGAGATATGAAATTTCTTCTAATATGACCGGTCACGGTAGCCTAGTGGTAGAGCGTTCGCTTCGTGATCGGGAGGCCCGGGTTCGATTCTCGATTGCGGCGCCGCGTCATACCTAAGACGTAAACATAGGTAGTGACTGTTCCTTCGCCAAGCGCTCGGCACTAGAAGTGAAAGTCACGGGTCTTTCGGATATGACCTTAAAAACGTAGGTCCCGTGTCACGGTAGGCGTTGGCACGATAAAGAACCCTCACTGCTCAATGGCCCTGAGTGCCGAGCATAAGTCTAAATTTGAAGCCCTTCACCGGCATCGGTGACGTCTCCATATGAGTGAAAAATTCTCAAGAGGGACGTTAAACAATATACAATCAATCAATCAATCTTCTAATATGTATATCTAAAACATATATCAATCTATAAATCTAGAAATTGCTCTATGCTAAAGTAATTAACACATTTTAAAATATCTTATATGATTACTTTTAGTATTATATTTTACTTTTGATTAAAACACCCAAAGCATTCCAACTTCGAGGGAAAAATATATACTGACAAGAAAAGACCGTGAACATTATAAATACTGGTTACAGTTTGGCTAGACGGGCTAAATTGTCCAAGCAAAGATTCGTTTTATTAAATATATAGATTATTTGTTACATTATTTACAGGACACTTGCTCTGAAAGCGCACTAAATGCTATACCGCGATTATCGCCCTTGCGTCGTTCCATACAACCATGTCAATTTGCGCTCTTTTTTGGTCGACTTTAGCGAAATGAGCTCGAAAAAATAATGAATTATATTGATTAAACGCAAGTTGACAACTGAGAAACGCCATTACATATTCTTAGACAAAAAATCAGCATGCGTTACCAGGGGTTTTCAAAAGATATAAAATTATTAAAAATTTTGCGTTATTCAAGAAAAATGTATAAAAATTACAAAACAAATTCCAGATTTTTGTTCATCAAAATTTGTTTTAGAAGAGGTGTATAAATCCATACATAGACATGAAAAGTATTGCACACAGGTCCTTCATTTGGTGGAACTCTTCAACTCCAGGAAGAACTCCGGCAGTCAAGTTGCGTATGAACTTAACGTTACATAACATACTTTGCTCCATTTAGCTTTTGAAAATCATTTGTTCTATATAATCAAACAGAATAAATTTCAACCATCGACAAAAGTAATAATTTTTTAAATATGAAATTCAAAATCTCTGTATGTTTCATCTTGTAAAAATAATAATTTGATGAGGAACTTTGTCATTGTATCTTTTGAATGACCCTCATACATGTAAATTCCTTTCAAGTTCTTTTGATTTTTTTTTTGATAAAATTTGGATTTAGTCGTGTGTCTTTTCACCTTGATGATTTTATTAACTAGTACATCATGTACCTTGACACTAGTCATTTATTTGTAAGAGTTTAACATGTACTTTTAAATGCAGAATTATAAAAAATATTTTAAACATCCTGCTATGCTTCTTAATTACTTTTTTTTAACACTCCTTGGAAATTGGATCAAAAATAGAATGATTAAGACATCTGAACAATTTCATTTATACTTGTATGTTACGGTCTCGGTTTTGTGCCAGGATACAATGTACACTATCAAATGCATAAACATTACTCATTAGCTGCTAAGCATCTAAATAATAGTTACGATCAAAATAGTAATTAAAACGATACTTTCATATCTCCTTGCAATTGTCATAAACCAGTAAACCACATAATTAGTGACAGATCTTGGAGACGTTATACTTACAACGTCCACTGATCCTGTCACGAATCTCCCAGTCAGACACGGTACAGTGTGTGATGATGTCTAGCTGTAGACGGTCTATGAAGAGGTCGCACATCTTCTCCGGCTCGCTCGGTACATACAGACATCTCTCTCCCTCACTCCTCTTATACTCCCAGGACCGGCAGTATTCTGATATCACGTCACGTGACGCTGTGGTCAGGAAAAACTCTAGATCACTATCCTTCACCAGACACTCCGTAACAAAGGCGTACATGACGTCATGTCGGATGTCGTCTGATATAAAGGTTATCACACGGTCACGTGTTTCTGTGATTCCATCAGGGAGATCTACTGAGCCGTCATCAGTAATATCAGGGAAATATCTCTGTTTGATTTTGTCCATTATGATTTTGTGTGATTGTTCAATAAACTTAATCCGATATTTTTCAGATATAAGTACACAATACAGTAGACATCTGACTTTCGCTAGATAGCCAAGGATTTTACCTGAAATGACAAACAAATAAATAAATTACAAATCACCAAACAAATAAATTAATAAAATAAAATAAATAAATTGTTAACATTCAGTCGAACTACATGAACTGCACTTCAATCTTTTTCTTTACACTGTATGTACACGTATGTATTAAGTCCTACTAGAGAAACACCAACATCTTACGAACGAACGTAACTCTCCCTAACTTCCCGTATCTCGATAGTTTTCTCGGGACCAGTGATTGTTCCCATATAAAGTTTAAAATCGGAAGAAATAAGTATATGTGTAAAATAGAACGGATAGTGTTTTAACCACTTTGTATTTGAAAATTGCTCATGTCAATTTTTTTGTAATCACTTACAAAGTTTTAAAAAAGCGAACAAATAGAAGAAAATACACCGTAATACTATAGACGGATTAGGAAACACGATTGTCATGCGTCAGTGATAAAACATATACCAACTACTCGTAGTGTGTGCCTTGAAAGGTTACTTTTTACAGCTTGAAAAAAAAAAATAAATCCGTGCAATCAAGTAAATAGGTGGTGCGCTTTATAAAGTATTTTGTATTGAGAGAGAGAGAGAGAGATATTCTTTTTAAATTTATTGAAATATCACTTAAAAAAAAAACTAGCATTCATGGTAGACAGTATCTTCTTAGATGATATATTAAATGGCGATCTTAACTACATGTAAATTATCTTGGGCTGCTTTTATTTTATATATATGAAACAGGCCTGAACCAAGCAATTTCATTTGGGGGGAGGGGGGGGGTACAACCAAAATTTAGAGTCACTACCAAACAATTTATAGGGAAGCCAAAATGAAAGATTTTTTTATTGAGGGGGCACAAGTAAACAGTAGATAAATTTTCTATAATACCGGTATTACGTTCTTTATTTATCCACTTCATTATTGGGGGGGGGGGGCTTATCCCCAAAACCTGAACCTCGTTCCTATATACGACCGTGTGTACATGTATATCTGTTTATATGTGTGGATTATTAAAAATAAAGCTGAAAATATGCATTTATGTAGGGGCTGCATTTTTCATAGTAAAGTTCTTTTCTTTGTCTTAAAGTTATGTTCCACTATGTCATTGTTTGCTAACCATGCATTATTCGTCAAAATATAAAATTAGAAGATACACTTTATACTTTTGACGACACACAGAGTTATTTTGACAGAAGGTCCAATATACATATAAAAACTATAACCGAAATTATAACTTGCTTCATTTGTAAGGAAAAATATATATTAACCATCCTGTTGTAAAACCAGAAAAAAAGATTAATTCCAGAATACCGACAATAATATATACGGACTTTTAAAAGTAGGAATAATATGAAAACATAGTTGTCATGGCATCCTTCAAAAGTATGTGCACACATATGCTCATCACAAATGCTTGTAGACCAGACAACCTCCCCATACCCACCAATACACATATATATATACTGGGTCCCAAGATATTCATATTTGCCTACTTTCATAAATCAACCGTCTATTACATATTTACAATGTATTTCATATGAAAAATCCAAAAAGTACATAGAATTCATTTTTTATTTTTAAAAATACCATGCCCGTAGTATCTTAAATCACCTCTGACTTTTGAACTGCAGGTATCAATTTTGTATGTTGTAAAAATGAAAAAGCCTTAAAAAATATCTTTGGACCCGGATTTATAGATTTATAGATTTTATAGATTTTTTATTATTCCAGATCAGGGCCCTTGTTGGCATATTACATACATGATTATTAAACAGAGCATATAATAGTTATTAACAAGATGTGATGTGTTCTTAGTACATGTATATACTTAATCAATTTACACATGGTTCATAAGTTGAAATAATTGCTAACATGTGAACTTAAAATATATATTGTAAAATATAAAGAAGTACCACCGTGTATCATAATGCAAAAAAGCCAGAGATATACATACACAGAAATGAAAAATATATACTTTTTTTTACATACCAACACATACATACATACATACACATATATATACATGTCCACACACATACATACTGAGTAGCTATATTCCACTAAATTGCAAAAGATACCACGGGACAGTGCATTGGTACTTTATAATTCACCATGTTTTGTTTGCATATCTTATGAACAAAGTAATATTTTATTAAGTGTTTGAAGTATAGAATTTTTTTTTCTTTACATTATATATATTCCAGGGGTTGGGGCAGGGTGGGGGTTTAGGTCCTTTGATGGCATGCTGGTATGGAACTTGCTCTCAGATATCTTAAATTATGTCAAAAGCAATTCACTAAACTTCCATTTTTGCGCCGCCGCCCCCCCCCCCCACCCCCGAAAGTTGGGGATATTAATTATTTTGGTCTGCCCGTCAGTCTTATAATTCTGTCCATCTGTTACACTTTTGTTTCGAGCAATATCTCGAGAAGTCTTTAAGCTTTTACAGTGAAATTAAAAAAATAGCTTTGGGTCTGGAATGTTAGGGCCGGGTGGGGTCCAGTCCACTAGCATCCGTGAGAATTATATGAAGATTTGTAAGATATACATGTTTGTAAGAAGAAGGAAGAAGCTTTATCAACCGAAAAATTACGAACGGGCATCCCCCTGGATTTATGATATGGCTATAATACATGTGTATTAAAGCCGTATTTATTTTATTTTTCGCATCATATAGTATTTTGAACAAGAATTCCTTTAAATGTTTTGGGTTTTTGCAATTTAATTTAAGACTCCTTATTGTCCCGACCACTCTTCGTAAAGTACCCCCCCCCCCCTTTCGACCCTTAGTAGATCAGCACATACTATTTTTTTTTTATTTCATGCCACAGAATGACATTTTTAAAATTTTCCTTTCATGTCCCTTTTCTAACCCCTTTGCTCGTTTAAATGTCCATTGAAATGTATTGAAGCGTCACGGTATCGACTACGACAAGACGTGGATTTGAGGTATCTTGTGGGGATCTATCTATCGAAATCCCAATAAAATTGAAGAATTCAATAATCCAACCGTGATTACAATAGACTACAATGACTGATCCCCGTTTTTGGTTACGTTCGTTCGTAAGATGTCGGTGTTTCTCTATTGAACAGAGATGTTTTAGCATGTGAACCACCCCAACCCCCACCACAATTTTTCTTAATCGCTTCTTTAACCATCGCTGAATAAATGATATTAAAAAGATGAGGAGATTTATAATTAATTAATTTAATAATAATCCTGAATTACGAATGCAAATCTGTAAAAAATGATTTTTATTCTTAATAATAGTATAAATTGAAATAACGTTTTGCTTTCGTCGCCCGCGAGACACAGTGATTCGAGCATCTGCTTTAGAGTCCAGGAGTAGGGAGTTCATTCTTTTAGCAACACCAAATTATTTTCTTGTTTGTGGGACATCTGATGACAAAAGTATGATAGGGAAACAATTTACTAATAATATTTTTACTTTTTTGAAGGAAATATTTTTAGGCGGAACTTGAACAAAATTGAACGGAAGTACATTCCCCCTACCTTATTTTTCTTTTCTTTTTTTTTTACATATAGCAGAATGATGAGGAGTACGAAAAATGTAGAGGAAATAAAAGGGAAAAAAATATCAATAAGACATTATAATTAAGCGATCTTGCATGGGGAGCATAAATACACAATCATGTTTAGCAGGATTCACAGAAACTGCAGGAAAAGACGGGGGGGGGGGGTTATTGTAACATTTCATATATTGAATTTAAAGAGGCTTTTAACGGAGCGGCCCCCCCCCCCCTTCTTAAAAAGTCTACAGAATTTTATTTCCATCAACTGTCATATAATTCTTTTTAGCTTGTAAAGGAATTTTGTATTTTTGTGCTTCAGCAATTAAAAAATCAACTTCTTGAACAGAACATTCTTGTCTTGATCAATGAAAAAATGCAATACTCAAATCAATAGATTCATGTTTCTGCACCCCCTCACGACCCCAACCCCCTCCTCCCTACACATAGAGACACACATGAAGACATACATCTGGTCCACACAAAAAACACACTTTTGGAAAGGAAGGAGGGCAGCCAGAAAAAAAAAAACTAACCTAAAAATAGAAACAAACATTGACTTATTCTACATTTCTATATATTAACGATGTAATGCTTGTAAACATCCAAAATACTGTAATGATGAGTTTGTTTGTTGATTAAAAGGTCTCACTTCGAATATTTCACTGAAACACTGTTACATTGACAACATTCTTCGCCGTGGAGAGCCTCAATTTGACCTTGGCACTGAGAGCCATTGAGCAGCGAGGGATCATTTTCGTGCCAGCAACTTCCACAACAAGGGACCCCATTTTAATCGGTCTGATTTAAGAACACGTTCACGTCCCTCAGTGGGATTAGATCCCGTGACATATATAAGGATCGGAGTAGAACTATTCATTTCATCCTCACATCCATTCAAACTTTTATGTATGTGCAGTACCTGGATTTTCATCGTCTCTAGTCATTTCATGCAGTCAGAAGTCCGTATTTTTGCTGTCATTTTGCGATGAAGCTGGATTTTCTAAAGAGTTCAAATGCTCCATCTTTAAATTAAGTTGATTTTTGACAAATATTTTGCACTAAAACAAATAAAACGATTGTTGTAAGAGGCAGTGCACCAAAAAACCAGGCAGTATTGTATTGATAGGCGGCACATCGAATGTAACGAATATGTGATATTTTATTGAAAACAATATCAATGTAGTCCAAATGGAATAATGTAATCGAAAATTTGTTTGAAAATTACTTATTTAGTTAAATAACCGTTTCTCTGGTGTGATTGAGTTCCCCTATATAAACCATTGAATTTAGGTCAGAAACAAAGAACCGTAACTTGAAGTCCAATACATTTTTTACAGGACTATAATTTACGCTGAATTAAATAAAGAAATATTTCATCTTTTTATTTCAAAAATAAAATCGGTGGGAAAAACACTTGTAAATTAGTTTTCTGGCATAATATATAGACGTTTTTATGATATTTTGCAGTGCAAGAGTTACCT